AAAATTAAAGAAAAAAAAAAAAAAAAAAAAAAAAAAAAAAAAAAAAAAATGAGCTCAGGACCATGAGAGAAGCCATGAATGTCCAGCATGGAAAAGAAATGAAATACATAAAACAGATATCCAGGAGATTAAAAATTATATAGAAAGCATTCACTGCAGAATGAATGAATGTGAAGATATAATTTCAGACATAGAAGATAGGATTGTTATTCAGTGGCCATGAAAAGAGAAATTTCTTAAAAATAGTAAGGGATCATGAAAAAATCAATCCAACAACTCCTAGTTGATGGAAAGCAGGATAACATAAAACTGGAAGAAATCCATGAATTAGCAGGAGAAAGTACAAATGACTTAAAAAAAAAAAAACTTTTCACAGAATTGATGACAGAAAACTTCCCATTGCATACAAACAAGTGAGGCATATAGGACTCCAATAAACCGAGATCAGAAAACTGTGTTCACCTAAACATATAATAGTCAAGATCCCAGAAACCCAACTGGAGAACAGATAAAGAAAACCCAACAGAAGAAAGTAGATAGAGAAAAGAAACAAAGCACATGCAGAGGAAAGCCCATCAGAATCACAGAAGACTTTTTAACACAAACCCTCAGGGTAAGGAGAGCCTAAAGTGAGGTATTTCAAGCCCTAAAAGAAAACAACCTCCAACCTAGACTGATGTATCCTGCAAAACTCCCTTTCAAAATGGGAAATAAGATGCTTCCATGACAAAGAACACCTGAGAAACTTCATGAATACCAAACCAGCACTGCAAGGCATTCTAAACAATACCCTAGAAAAAGACAATGAAGGTCATAACACCATTAGGCCCAACAGAGAAAATCAATTAGGTAAGGCAAGAAACTAAAGTGAGAGGGGGAAAAATTTTAAAATGCCAACAATAGGACAATAAATCAACAATGATAAGTCAGTACATATCAGTTATAACTATCAATATCAATGACCTCTATTCACCAAACCCTCCCCAAATAGACTGGCAGAATGAATGAAGAAGCAAAATCCAATAATAATATTGTATACAAGAAATGTTCTTAGTTTGGAATGAAACTTGTAGACTGAAAGTGAAAGAATGGAAAGAGTTCTGTACACAACAGGACCCCAGAAAAAGCAGGGGTAGCTATCTTATTTGCAGACAAAGTAAATTTCAAGCCAAAGCTGATTAAGAGAGACAGTGATGGACATTACATCCTTGTAAAGGGAAGAACCCAAGAGGAAGAGATGACAATCATAAATATGCACCAAATATTGATGCCCTGAACTATATAAAACAAATATTAAGGAACCTGAAAAAACAAATAAACATTAATACAATTGTAGTGCGGGACCTAAATACCCCACTAGCACAAATGGACAGATCATCTAGACAAAAAAATCTACAACAAAATACTAGAACCAAACTTTTGAACAAATGAACTTAATAGACATCTACAGAGTGTTCTATCCCACAAAATCAAAATATACTTTCTTTTTGGCTGCATGTGAGTTATTCTCCAAAATAGAGCACATACTAACTCATAGAACAGGTTTAAATAAATGCAAAGGAATCAAAATTATCCCATGTATATTATCAGACCATAGTGCAATTAAGCTGGAGATCAATAGCATAAGAATAAATGCAAGAATTTCCAAACACATGGAAATTGAACAGCAGTCTCCTGAACTAGCAATGGATCACAGAGGAAAATAAAGAAGAAATTAGTGATTTTTTACAAATGAATGATATTGCCAATGCAACATACAGGAATCTATGGGAAACAATGAAAGCAGTTCTATGTGGAAAATTCATAGCAGTGAATGTCCACACTAGGAAAATAGAGGAAGCTCAAATAAACAATGTAATGATGAATCATGGACTGCTAGAAAAAGAAGAGCAACAAAAACCCAAAGCTTGTACAAGGGAGGAAATTCAAAGATCAGAGCAGAAATCAGTGCAATGGAAACTAAGACAACAATACAAAAAAATCAATGAATCAAAGAGCTGGTTTTTCAAAAAAAATTAATAGAATCAATAATTCCTTAGCCAAACTTGTCCAAAATAGAAAAGAAAAAGCTCAGATACATGCAATTAGGAATGAAAAAGGTGAAGTCACAACAGATCCAGTAGAAATCCAGAGGATCATCAATAGCTACTTCAAGAACCTGTACTCTAATAAAATGGAAAACATAGAAGAAATAGATTTCTTGATACTTACAAATTACCAAAGTTGAACAAAGAACATAAAAAAATTCTAAACATCACAATTACAATCAGTGAAATTGAAAATGTAATCAAAATCTTACCAACTAAGAAAAGCCCAGGTCCTGTTGGCTTCATTACTGAATTCTACAAGACATTTAGAGAGGAACTACTGCCTCTAATCTTCAAAGTTTTCAATGAAATTGAAAGGGAAGTAATACTTTCAAATTCATTCCTGGAGGCAAGTGTTACTTTGATTCCAAAACCACGGAAAGACCCAACCAAAAGAGAGAACTACAGGTAAATCTCCTTAATGAACATAGAAGAAAAAGTCCTCAGGGAGATACTGGCAAAGAGAATTCAAAGGGCCATCAAGAAGATCACACACTCTGACCAAGTCAGATTTATTTCAGGAATGCAGGGACAGTTCAACATACAGAAATAAATAAATACAATACACTATCTTAAAAGAGTGAAGGACAAAAACATATGATTATCACAACAGAATGCAGAAAAAGCATTTAACAAAATTCAACACCCATTCATGATGAAAACCTTGCAAAAAATTGGAATAGGTGGTCTTTATCTCATCTTGATAAAGGCTATCTATGAAAATCCAACAGCCAATATCAAAGTAAATAGTCAAAAACTTAAAACCTTTACGGTAAAATTAGGAACAAGACAAGGATGTCCACTATCAATACTCCTGTTCCATATAGGTCTGGAAACATTAGCCACAACAATTAAATGTGAGAAAGAAATTAAAGCAATAAAGATAAGAAAGGAAAAATTTAAAGTGTCATTATTTGCTGACAATATGATAGTCTACATAGAAGACCCAAAATACTCTGCCAAAAGACTTCTAGACTTAATTGACATTTTCAGCAGAGTAGATGGATACAAGGCCAACACTCAAAAGTCAACAGCCTACTTGTACACAAATGACACTCACTGTGAGAGAAATTAGGGAAACAATTCCTTTCACAATAGCATCCAAAAAAATAAAGTATCTAGGAATCAGTGTAATGAAGGAAACAAACCAACTCTACTGTGAAAACTACAGCACTCTGAAGAAAGAGATCAAAGAGGATATAAGAAAATGGAAAGATATCCCCAGCTCCTGGGTAGGAAGAATAAACATAGTGAAAATTGCCATACTACCAAAACTGCTATACAGATTCAATACAATGTTGATTGAAATTACAACAGTAAGTTTCACAGAACCAGAGAAAATAATCCAAAAATTTAATAAATGGTGTTGGAAAACCTGGATTTAAACTTGCCAAAGATTAAAACTAGACCCTTATCTTTCACTATGCACTAAACTAAAATCCAAGTGATTAAAGATCAAAA